TTGACATGGACAAATATGATTCGCAGACAAGTGGCTCGCATTTCCGAGAAACATAGAAAACGAGAAAGCAGAAGACTGCGTTTGTGTGCAAACAACCAATCAGAAGACCGCCTTCTTTCTGCGGGCAGAAGTCTATTAATGTATGTAAAATGCATATAAATACATGTTGGTTATCGTAATAAAACTGATCTGTTGCCAGCCTTGTCTTCTGTTGTTACATTTGGTGTCGCTGCCTCCGGAAAAATGAAGATCCCGTGGCCAGCTGCGTTTGAGGAGGGAGACATACGGAGCTTCCTACGTGATTTCGAAGCCATAGCTGAGCTGGTGGGTGTCAAGGAGCAGGCGGCGAAGGCAGTTGTTCTGGGGACGCTGTTGAGAGGCCGAGCGAAGGCGGCATATGACAGCGTAGACCGGCCAAACGGCACAGTGTCTTGGAAGAAATTGGTTGAAAATTTGGTGTCGGAGTTCGACAGCGCAACAGACAAGCAGCTAGCGATGCAGCAGTTCCGATCAACGAGGCTGGGACCTGATGGAGACCCGTTAGTATTGGCGGTGAAATTGACGAATTTACTTCGACGGGCGCTTCCCACGTTGGATAAAGAATCAGAAGAGCAGTTGCTATCTTCCCAATTCATCGAGAGTGTACCAGACCACATTTCTCAGCAGTTAAAACTGGTGAACGCAACGCAACCGATGGATATTAGTGAACTAGCGAAGGTGACCAGACAGCTGCTGAGCACGACTGGAGCCGCTATAGAGCAGCCGAAACCAAATGAATATGAGGAGCAAATTGAAGCATTGCAGCGGGAAGTGGCGGCGTTAAAGTTGGGTAATAGAAAAAACCGATGTTTTGAATGCGGCAAGCCAGGACACTGGAGAAGAGACTGCCCAGAAAGACAGAAAAGGAAAAATTTCAGACGGTATAATGCTTGTTCTTTCTTTCGTATGAACCTAGACTTAGTGGGGGCGATTGAGAAAGGGGCTATGTATTCGAAGTTGCGAGTAAATGATCGAGAAGTAGTATGCTTAGTAGATACAGGAGCGGCCGTGTCGTTGATAGATAAGAATTTATGTAAGAGCGTTAGTCCGTGTTCGTTGACAGTACAAACAGTAGGTGGGCATGTGTTGCGTATAACGGGTAGGTCGAACTGTACGATTGTTGTTGGAGAGTGCGAGGTGACGTTTCCTTTCATTGTTGTGCCCGAACTACAGCGAACGATATTAGGAGCGGATTTTCTGCGGGAGATTGGTGCAATAATTGACACGCAAGCGAAAGTGGTGCTCACGAAATACGGGCGTATCAAAATGTATGAGACCAGCGAGATAGCAGCGGTGAACCTGTCGACGGTATACAACATGACAGATTTAATTAAGAAATACGATCATCTGTTCACTGGAGATGGCGATCCATACGGCTATTGCGACAAGGTGAATCATGAAATTCCGTTAACTAATCCAAAAGTAATGTCATTTACATCGCGAAGAATACCATGTCATCTGGAAGGCGAAGTGAAGCGGCAAGTGCAAGAGATGTTAAAAGACGATATTATTGAAGAAGCTGATAGCCTGTACAACTCTCCAGTGCTGTTAGTAAAGAAAGCGAATGGGAAGTATAGATTCTGTGTTGACTTTCGACAACTAAACAGTATGACAGAGTTAAAACCGTGTGCCATGCCAACAGTGGTGGAAACTTTAGACCGCCTACAAGGCGCGAATGTGTTTTCCGTTTTCGATCTTCGCTCAGGGTACTGGCAGATACCGATAAAGCCAGGTGATAGAGATAAGACGGCATTCATCGTGGGTCAGACACAATATCGATTTAAACGCATGCCGTTTGGACTAGCAGGTGCACCGTTCACGTTCAGACGACTGATGACGCTATTACTTAAGAACTTGAAAAACGTTGAGGTGTACGGTGATGATCTCGTCATATATAGTCAAAACGAAAACGATCATGTGAACCATGTGGAAGCCGTGCTGCGACGCATCGAAGAGTTTGGACTGCGCGTCAACAAAACCAAGTCTCAGATAGCCAAAAAGAATGTAATTCTTCTGGGACATAAAGTGGGAAGTGGTGAGATTAAACCACTACCGGAGAAAATCTTGACGATAAAGACGATCCCGGCCCCAAATTCAAAGAGGAAATTGAGGCAATTCTTGGGTAGAGCGGCGTTTTATAGTCGATTCGTGAAGAACTTCAATGAGATAGCAGCCCCTCTATACAGGCTACTAGGTGAGCCGAAGTTTGTTTGGTCGGAAGAATCGCAGAGGACATTTGACAGAATTAAACACCTGTTCGACCACCAACAAATGACGCTAAAACTACCTGTACCTGGAAGACAGTTTACAGTATGCACAGATGCCAGTGACTACGCCATAGGTGCGGTCCTAAGACAAGGTGATGGAATCGTTGAGTATGCCAGTCGAGTTTTAACACTCACAGAGAGAAAGTATTCAACGATAGAGAAAGAATGTTTAGCAATGGTATGGGCAGTCGACAAATGGCGACCTTATTTACTCGGCCGGCGGTTCCACATCGAAACTGATCATAAGCCGCTACAATTTTTGAAGACAGCGAGAGACCCACGGGGGAAATTGTCACGGTGGATGTTGCGTCTTCAGGAGTACGATTTTACGATCTCACACGTTCCTGGAAGTGAAAATGTCTTGGCAGATTTGTTATCGAGACCAGAAGACGAGCCTGAGTTGCCCGAGGTCGCTTACGGAGTGCATGCTGTAGAGCAAGACCCCCTAAAACTTGCACGCAAGCAAAGGTTGGATGATACGCTGAATACAGTGATACAGGTGATAACCAACGGGATAGAAGTAGATCAAGCTACGGCGAGTAAGGAGCTAACCACACTACTCAGACAGAGAGATCGACTAAGAGTGAATGCCTACGGGACTCTGACCTGGCGAGAGAACGATGGAAGCTGGCTGGCTATCATACCTCAGTCCTCGCGCCACAACATGATAGAAGAATGTCACCAGCTAGCACATACAGGCGTGGCCAGAACAACTGACCTCCTAAGACAAAGCATGTACTGGCCAGGTATGAGAGAAGACGTAGCAAGATACGTACTTGGATGTCCACGGTGCCAGCTAATGAAAGGCGACCGGTGCATACGACCACCGCTTCAGTCGATTCCAGTTACGGCGATAGGTGACTTGTGGTCCGTAGATGTTATGGGTCCATTTCCGCAGACATCTAATGGTAATCAGTACCTCCTGGTGATGACGGAACACGCGACACGATGGGTAGACGCCGTAGCGATCCCAGATCAACGTGCAAAGACCGTGACAGACGCAGTAGTTAAACACATCGTTGCAGACCACGGCGTACCAAAGACGATACTGACGGACCAAGGTCCCTGTTTCGAAAGTGAAGAATTTACTTCCCGTTTGCAACAGCTGGGCATCAAGAGGATCAGAACGACCCCATATCATCCACAGACGAATGGCCTAACGGAGAGAAACAACCGTACACTGAAGGAGTGGCTGGCCTCGAAGGGCGGTAACTGGGAAACGGAGCTTCCACTGATTTTACTGACGCATCGGGCTACCACTCAGGAAACAACGAAGAAGTCACCCTTTCAACTGATGTATGGTAGAAAACCACGATTACCGATACACAACGAGACCTGGCCCCTTCACCAAAAGTGGAGTACGACGAAATTAAAAGCAGAGCGGAAAGAGGCCGTCAAGAATGTAATACGGAAGCAGCGGAGTGATGTCGCGAAGTCTCAGATGAAAGAAAAGACGCGGTGCATCACCTTTGCAGTCGGGGACCAAGTGAAGTGTAGAGACAGGAGATATACAGTTGGAGGCGGGCCAGGTTCACGGAAACTCCTGCCAAAGTGGGAAGGACCATACACAATCACAAAAAGACGGGGTCAAGTATATACCATCCGAAGAGGTGACAAACAGAAACGAGTTAATGCCAGTCAGCTCCAACGATGGGTACAGTGGGACAAGCCGATCAGCAACAATCCTCAACTAGAGAATGTAGCACCAAGAAGGTCGGAACGCCTGCGTACGAAGCTATTTGACGGGGGGACGAGTGTGGTGAGAGCAAGCTGCTAGCCAATTGGTAGACATTGATCTACGCTGATTGGTAGAAATTAATCTAGGCTGATTCAAGGACCAATCACAGCTGACCTTGACATGGACAAATATGATTCGCAGACAAGTGGCTCGCATTTCCGAGAAACATAGAAAACGAGAAAGCAGAAGACTGCGTTTGTGTGCAAACAACCAATCAGAAGACCGCCTTCTTTCTGCGGGCAGAAGTCTATTAATGTATGTAAAATGCATATAAATACATGTTGGTTATCGTAATAAAACTGATCTGTTGCCAGCCTTGTCTTCTGTTGTTACAGTTCTTTGTGACAGAGATAGTGTCGGGTGTGAAATCGACTATTTACCATGTTATCAGCAAAACAAATTGGCTCTTTTATGCTATCCTATTTGTAATTTACGGTGACATAAATTCACGTGATTAATAATTTTAGCTGCTAACATTATTATCATTATATTACGATTTTTGAACATTTTTGGAGGTATTGTCACTGCTATTATCATCCTGGTTACATATATACCCTGTATTATTATTATTATCTTTCGTTTTGTTCTTGTTGTTGTTGTTGAGTAGATTAGATGCAATCAATATAGTACAAAATGCTGAGAATTCCAAGCTGTATTATAAGTGCTGTTTTGGAATAAAGCAAATTATTATTATTATTATTAAAGCGTCGTTAGTTCAGTTTTTAGTGGTAGAATGCTCGTCAACCACCAACGCACAGGGTACAGTTTCGATTCCCGACCACCGACGACGCATTATTAAACCCATCTTAACCAATAGAAAGGGAAGGCTAACAACACCATCACGTAGGAAACAGCACAACACAAATCGCCACAACAGTTACTCAAAACTTCAAAGTGCTTGAAGATTGAAACCTTCACCCTCCAAAATTCTTCACTTGTAAGACATAAACAATTAATTAAAAAGAAGAACATACCAGTGTATCTAATAATGAACGTAATGAAGCAGGTAGAGTCCATAGTGTAGGTGATTGCTGGATAAGTAAAGCAGCCAATCTATTTGCTTTGTGTAAAACAACTGGGGAACAACGCTTGATTGGATCGTCATCTTCAGGTTCAGCATCTTCTTCTGCTTCGTCGTCCTCCACTTCCTCTTCTTTCTGCATATAATTTTTACTCCCATTGCCAACACTATTACCATCGACATCACGTTTCACACTGGTACCGGAATTATTATCAGACCTATTAGTAGTAACAGATACTTTCTGTTCACCATCTGACGGGGCAGTGTTCTCTGTCCTATATTGATCACAAAAACATAGAAGACACACGGATATATATATATATATGTATTATGACTATATATTATTGACCATTATAATACTGTTCACCACACATTTATTTTTTTTATTCCTTTACGTTCCCAGTGGAGCATAAGGTTTCAAGCTAGAGGCGTGAAGTTTCGGTGGCAGTGGTGTTTTATTTTTACGAGATGGGGTTGCTAATCACCTGTCCTCCAATCCTCCCTCTTTACAAGTATTATTAATGGCCTAGCGAGGTAGAGGAATACGTCGTAGTGGGGTCAGACCCCGGACCAAATGTGTGGTTGGCGAGCATTTCACCACTGTGCCACCGATGTACATTCACCACACACAGAGATTACACAATTTATTTTTCGTAGATGGTGTGCTCATCTTGTGATCTGCATAAATATTGATTGAAGTGGTTGCTTTGCTGGTCTGTATATATGTGTGTGTGTGTCATATCTATATCAAATAAGTTTAGGAGTCATATATACATACGGGGTGGATGATTTTTCTTGAGATTCCTGAGGAAGTGTTGCTGTTGGTGTGTGGAATCAGATTTAGATATATTTTTCAGATGAAAATGATAACAATAGACATTTCTATTGTATTCTTCTCCAGACTAATGTTGCAGTGTATTTTCGCTGTTATTTTGTTTGGTATTGTGTGACTATTTGGTCTTTGTTTCGATTAATTCACTGTATACTTCTACTTCTAGATTCTCCCTTGTTTATTCTCTTGTCATGTCCTGATATCTTTAAACACACTGTTTTCTAAATCAGTTCTTCTGTGTTTCAGGTTTGACCACAGATCGACACACCTGTTAGAACACCACTGGACCCCCATCCCAAGGAGTATCAGAAAGTTGTTTTGTCCACCTTGTTTGAGACTCTTCATTAGTACACACTCATAAACCCACAGGGGATCTTCTAATTATGATAAAGGTGTCATACAAATTGACCAATCAAAATTCACACATTGTGTGTTTTTCAATTATAGACACATACACTTTATTATCATTAGACAGATATATAAACATGTGACAAACAACCATTTTATTGAGAACTACACACATGTGTATGTGTAAGTCAGCAGCTGAAGGATATGCGGGTCTACCTAAAGGATCTGGAGACCCAATATGTTGCAGATGGACTCCATAATCCGAAAGGACCGCTGTGCATCTGAACCTGTTTCGGTCATCAGAAACCATTAGATTGCAAATCTTGACGCTGCTCCACTGTCATGTGGATCAGACTTACAGTTACAGGCTCCGGAGTGACCTGTTAAAGTAACAACCTGTTTCAATTCGCGTGCGTTTCAGCAGTATTCCAGCGCTGTCACAAACTATCAGACAATTTTTTGTAGCTATAATGTACCAATTTTGTTTTATTAATAATAGTAACTATCACTATTATTAGTATACACAAATTTTGGTGCTGTAAAGGTACACGAGAAAAATGTACTCAAAGCCAGTAGAAGAGTATTGTTATAATCAATCAACCAACATATTATGATGAATTCAACACCCATTTTGTAATTACGTAAATTTACTCTCAAAGCAAAGTGAGACAGCACCTTCCACCAACTACAGTCTTCAATCTCCTTAATTATATGACAGCATCAGTCAACCAATTCGAGCCCTCATTAGCTCTCCCACACATATACGCACTTTGTTAGCTAACAATACATATAACAGGAAAGTAGAATTTCAATAGATATACCGTGAATGTTGAGTAAACGAATGGTTAAACAGGGGGAGGGAAAGATGTTCAAGGAAGTGCAAGAATATCAAACAGAACATCTTTCTTTGAAATGTTATATGAATAACTCTCAGTTTCTAGTGGGTGTGTTAGTGCAGTCTTCATTCAACAAAACAATCGTTCAGCAAGAGGAGTTGGATTAGGGTTCAGATTAATGTACTTTTCCTTATCATACCGCTTATGCAAACGCCCTGAACTGCTTTTATTATTAGGCAATAAATTCCACTTACAGATTATAATGTCATTTTGGACTTGATAAACTCCATAGTTACTTATGCGCTCATTTGATGCCATTCTTTTTAATCCTGCGTGGGGCTTCTACAAAAATTATGCCTTATTACATATATAAATCTTAAGTCCTGATGACAATGACCGTTAACACGTACGAAACCTAGGTGTCGAAGACTGACTGCTGATTGTATCTAACGATCTAACGTCGATTCAAAGTGCACTGCAGAGGCAAGTAGCCCCCCCCACCATAGCGAATACACTGCGAACTTAACTGTTATAGAACTCAGTCACTATCAAAGGCAAGGACTAGTTACACTCTAGCAACCAATCAATGTCTCCACTATTACCCTCCTACAAGAGCTCAATCATGAGCACGAATAGCCCAATGGCATGTCTGTGATAGCGCTTATGGACGACACGGAACCCATGAAGGTTTCAGATACGCCTTGCTGACGACCAGTGTCAGCCGCCAATGAGTACGAAACTGATGTACCAACTATCTAACTGATTAGCGCAGTTTCGACACAGAACTTTGAACAGACGTGCATCAGCTCAAATTGCCACATTCTATTCAGCACACAAAATACAGAAAAGAAGGAAGACATTCAAAAAAGCTATCATGAACAGGAATGTTTGGGAGAGAGAGAGAGAGAGAGAGTAGAAACATGGAAAAGATGGGGTTTTAGTGGATCTTGGAAATTACACAGAAGTGAATGCATTTGCACCATTCAGAATCGTTTTGAGCCATATCACTTAATAGTCTCCAATCATTGGTTCTCGAGCGTCTTGAGCAGCCATACGGTCTACACATCCACACGTGATTGGTTCAAACCAACAGCTCAAGACTTTATGGATTGATGCCGTGTTTTAACTTAACGACTCCTAACTCTTTTCCAACCTAATCTTATATCAGTTAACACACTACTACTCGTCGAGGAAGCCGATGGCTCCCCACACAACCCGAAAATTGTACCCTAGTTATCTTAATCGATGTAGCTTTCTTCATAACCTCATAGATTAACTGCCTGCTTCTCAATCAACTACTAAGCATAAAAAACAACAGAAAAACTTACACAGCAGGAAGGACAGTTCCATGTAATTCATGTAACAACTGTGATCGTTCCGCCTCTAATCTTTTACACTCATCACGCAGTTCAGTAGCACGTTCAAATTCTTTACGTGTAACACAATTATGCAAGGATTCATTGATTTCATTCATACGAACTTCAAGACTAGCAATCTGAAATAGAAAGAAATACATACATACTAACACATATATAAAAAGGGACAGAACCTAGACGAATAACTGGAGTAGATAGAATTCGACGGCCGAGGAATTCTAACTTCTGCCAATACGCATAACAATTACAACCGCCAATATCCACCATCACATATCCCGATACAAAGGACTACACTAGTCACCATTTGTTACTAAAACTGGTAGACGTTCACATCACACAGCTAGTCCCTTATGAACAGAGAATGAGTTTTCAAAGGATCGACTGATTTAAGGCTAAATTTATATCACAAACTGAACATATCAGTCAGATTGAAACAGCTATCCAGTGCTGGTTTGCAAAAGCTCTCAACATGATGACAGTTGGTGATCTGACTTGAAATCAATCCTATCCCTTGGCACAACAACTAACATGTTTCAAATTAATATTATACTCAATAATGATTAACTGGAGTATGAAGTTGCCTGTAGTCCTAGTGAAAAGTCATTACCGATAGGGTCCATGAACTTCGTTGGTTGTGAAGATAAATACTCGCTGATGACGTGGATTAGGGGTGACATATAATAAATATATATATACATCGCGAATTGACAGAAGTTAGAATTCACAAGGTGGTCGCCATTGGATTCTATATCTCAGGCTCATCTAGTAACGTGAAGGTCCTGAGTTCCGTACCCGAGGTGGGGTCACAGGTCACAGGTACGTAATAGTGAGGAGCGTCAAACTGCAACGGAACAGCTGTTTAGAATAGTTCTCCGACTCTGTTCTAGTTTGTGATGAAAAGTCATTTGAAATCAGCTAAATCTCTGCAAACTAAAACAAGAAAGAAGTCAGCCGGGTGAGAGGATATACTGAAAATAATGTCAACAACTCCTCATTCCTTGAGTTTCGAGTGGAACATAGGACTTTAATCTTTCAGGCTCCATCAGTAGTGTTGTTTCCTGCCGAGTGGGGTTGTTACTCTTACACCCAGTCTCATCCCCCCCCCATTTTCAAACTTACTACCAAGCTAGTAGACTACGATATGTCTGGAAGTGCGTCGGTCAGGAATCAAACCTAGACCACTGGTATGGCTAGAGAGCTTTCTACCATAGAACCACCTATGCAATGTAAGTATTAAAGCGACATATATTAAATTCACATATCTAATTGGTAGTAACTCCTGAACGAGCCATTGATTTTTAGCCTCTCCCTCGAGCCAAACAGCTTAAACCTCCTAATGTAATTCAGACAAACGGTGCAAAACAACCCACCAAATACCACGTTAGCGAACAACGCTTGACGACAAAGGTGATAGTGTGGTGACAGCTGGCTACTAGCCAAAGTTGGTAGACAGTAATTGACGTCAATGTTTATGTCCCCAATATTGGTGGTGAGAAAATGAGAACAAAGGCTTTGCGTAGGCGGATACAGTTAGCATATGGATGATCTGACACAGCCACAAAGAGATGCAAGGTTAACTTTCTGTGAGAAACAACCAATCAGAAGACTGTATTTTCTACCAACAATAATCTACAATAATGTACATTAAAATCTATAAATATGTGTTGATTTTCCTTAATAAACGATCTGTTGCCTGGCCCTTGTCTTCTGTTGTTACAATAGCATCACACACGTAACACATGCCTTAGCCACCTCGATCGATGCAGCTTCAAAACTTCATTGAATGACTTTCTTTTATCATCTAACACTATGCCTGACCTGAAGATTACCTTACCATGTCATATCAGGTGACACAAGAACCTATGGTGAGAGACAGACAGTACAGTCATACCTTCCAGTCTTATAGGAGTAAAGAAGAACGAAACGAAGAACTGTAGTGCACTACACACACACACACACAATAACAACTAACCTTCAAACGTATATTAATCTCCTTTTTCTTTGATATAGCCGTTTGAATTGCACGGGGTTCGTTTTCTTCATTTGATACACAATCTTCATTAATTGTTGCGCCATCGGAAGTTGTTACTGGTGGTGCGGGTAACGGCTCGTCTGGTTCCGTTGGTTCACACAATTCACTGATCATCTCGATGACATTGTTTACACGACGTCGCTAATTTAAAAATAAGTGGGTGAACAAGAGTGAAATATGCGCAAACAATAAAACACATTAAAATAAGTCAAAAGTTAAGCCAATCCTATCTGAACAACTCCAATCGACCGGCAGTTGTTGAACTTGACACATAGTGGGGGTCACGCTTGCATATCGCAATCTCTGCGTAGGAAGTTACAATGGCCGGAACGAATGTTTTTAATACGTCCTACCATCACAACATGGGTTACTTACATTGTGTCGGAGGTGGGGGGCTATGAACGAAGTTGTACTGTTGGCTAAGAGAAGTGTGACAACAGGAGAGTATCTCCTTCGAATGACCAGTAAGCCAACTATCGTACCTCTTCGCTCTAAGGAGGAGGATTAGAAAAGATCGACGCCAAAAACTAAACACCCCGACTTACGCTGCCAGAAAATTTATACACAGTAGTGAGATCCTCATAATCAGGCAACTCCAGAAATTACCTCAAACAAGCTGTGTGCAACTAGCCACAATTAGTTGCCCTTTTGGGTTCTGTGGTCAGGCAGTACTCACACTCCTGTATTTCAGGTATTTCAAGAAATCGACTTCAATTGTGTGTAGGACAAGAACTACTGTACAGAAATCAGCCATATGAGTTGGGCTATGACAGATATTCAAAATGAATTCAATACAGACAAAAAAACCATTTAGACATTTAGAAGACAAAAGGATTGCGCAGAGAAATATTTAGTTTTCAATTAGATCCATGTAGACAGTGAGTATAAAATTGATGTTATTAAAGCATTTGAAGTTATTTGTCACATTCCGATTAATACTGATTTTGCTTTACGAGTTCGTCTTCTACGCACAACTGAAACGAACAGAACAAACCCGTACAGCCAACTTCCTTACCTCTGCCATCGTCATATGAATATTAAAAAAAATCAGACTATTTCGCCCTCCTCCTAAGCCTTTTTACAAGCTATCATTGTTCAAATGTATTTATTTTCCTAACTACTTCACCTCTATTCAAATGAACTTTCGTCAAGATTTGACAGAATAGTTCTAAAATATTTGGGCGCCGAGTGAGAAGTAGACATTTGTAAAAGATTATATTTGTAAAATCTCAGCGAGATTGAAATGAGTAATTCCAACGTTTCGTTCGGCAATCTGGTCCGAACTTCTTCAGGGAAATTAATCGAAATTAACATAACAGAGGTTTATATATAAAAGGAGCATCACTTGTTTTTAAAAACTTTGTCCAATCATGAGTCATTCAACAAGTATCAACAAGTATAATAAACAAAATTTTTATGAGCTGTGATCTGCAGCAGAATGCGTATCCTAAATCCGTAGCTGTCGAGTCACCTGACAACTCCAGTAGGTCGAATAAAGCTGCTCAATCTTCAGAAAGAAGACAAAGCAATAAGTCCGACAGGGTGCTTCAACTAAACTCTAATCCTAAACACCATAATTTTGAAAATACGTCTAATCATAAAATTCTAGATACTAGCAGTTTGAACAGACATGAAGGCGTGATGTTAGCTGATGCATAGGAAATCCTTATTAATAAATAAAAAATGGATATGTATCACTAATTATTAATACTTGGTCAAAATTCTCGACTGTCTATATCTTCTTATGGAGACGTTAAGAAATGTTTTACAACTGTTCACCCACACACACATACACACTCTGTTTAAAGTGTTAAACAAAGGTAGACCAATATTTGTAAGTCCGAGGTCAAATTTTGATCACAGCTCATAAAAATTTTGTTTATTATACTTGTTGATACTTGTTGAATGACTCATGATTGGACAAAGTTTTTAAAAACAAGTGATGCTCCTTTTATATATAAACCTCTGTTATGTTAATTTCGATTAATTTCCCTGAAGAAGTTCGGACCAGATTGCCGAACGAAACGTTGGAATTACTCATTTCAATCTCGCTGAGATTTTACAAATATAATCTTTTACTTCATCTCTAATTGCTTATTACGCAATCAACATGAACACCATTTATTCTTTAATTAACTCTTATTTCACACATTTATTCCCCTGTGTGAATTTGAATAAAGCACGAATAACAGTTCTTGCAGAATAACATAGTAGCATTACTGTTTATTTCTTTGACTTCTCATCAGCTGCTTACAGCACAAAGACACTATTAAGTATAGTTATAGAAACAATTTTAACATACTTACATACATAGAAAGTTCGTTCTTCAACAAAAAAATCAATATAGGCATACAATGCTAATAAACACTTTATCCCAAACAATAATGATCATATACAATGGAATATTCTGGCGTTACATAATCAAATGAAATGAAAGAGACGACGAAAACATCCAGTTACCAGATAGGGCAAGGAAAGACTGATAACCGCTTCTTTCTGAACACAGAAATCGAGTCTCAGGCGCTTGATGGAGATTGCTTCGACAAACTTAGGGAGAATTGAACTCTTCTGCATACTGGTAATTTTGAACGACCTTGCGACATCCACCTCATGACTCATTTCAAGGAGATGCCTGGTGATGGCATTGTTTAAAACATTTGTTCCCTTGAGACATAGGCTTTTCGGTACATGTTCAGAAAATCGGAGGTATACCCTTCTTTATGTTCTTCCAATGTAACTGCTCCCTCAAATATATATAAATTTGTATATACAGTTGGAGTTAACATGAGAAGGATATCTGTCGATTTTTGATTCCACCAAAGAGCAAGTTGTTCGATAGACGGGAACCAGCTTAGCCGCAGGATAGGCTCTGGCTAGTGACGTCCCCAATCTTCTGTTGACAATTGTTGTAATATTTTCACCTTTAAAATCAAGTTGAATGAAAACAGGCTTTTTTCCACTGTGATTTGCTTGACATTTGAGCCTTCAGATCTTCGGCACTTGTCAATGAACTTTTGGGGTAACCTCGGCTTTTCAACATCTTTTCGAGAAACATAATTTCTTCCTCTAATTTCGCTGTAGAGCATATTTTCCTACCTCTATAGTAAAGAGTCTTGACTAGTGCTCGTTTAAAGCTATTTGGACAAAAACTATTACAATGTAGGTATTCTCCTTTCCGTGTAAGCTTTCGGTAGACTGACCTCTGGAGACTGCCATTTTCTAGGCGTTGCATGACAATGTAGAGGAGATGGAACTTTCCATCATTTTCATGTTCCATAGTGAATTCAATATTTGTATGTGCGTCGTTGAATAATCTGAGTAGGTAGGAAGCATGACTTTCATTGTTGCACACTACAACTATGACATCGATATATCGACAAAAAGAATTTCATTCGTCCATTACATGCTTCAACTTTGTTTTCTCAAGGTCGGACATGAAGATATCTGCTAAAACAGGGCTTATTAGACTTCTGATAGCTACACCATCTATTTGGCGGTAAAGAGTACTGTCAATTTGGAATTTCACATCCATGGTACACATTAGCAGTATTGAATTCCGGCACTGGGAGAAGATCAGAATACTGACGAGTGATCTCAATAGTTTCATTGATTGGAATCATTGTGAACAAGGGGTTGACATCAAATGACGCCATGAACTTATTTGAAACGTTCATGTGGTTCACACTTTCGGCGAAATGAAATGAGTCTTTCATGGTGTACACGGCTAACCGTTGACGAGTGGGTTCCAACTTTTTTTTTTGATTTACAGCTTGATTCCACACCGTATTTTCAGTACAAGTGTGGAATTTTCAGCATGGATATCGGTAGCCCAAATTCAGGCCGACCATAGATATCGGGTGTGCGCCGGCAGGGGATCGAACCCCGGACCATGTGCATGGTCGGCGAGAGTCCTAACCACTGTGCCACCGACGCAAGCCAACGAACAACTTTATGATGGGGCGAGTTGATCATGGAAAGTATAGATAAGGAAGACACTACTTGAGAGTGGCTATCCACTACGCTTTGTAGATAAACGCATAAAGCCACAAATCAGCAAAGAACTCATCTCTGTGTCGAAGAAGATGCTGTACATGAATGTGGCTTTCAAAGGTGACCTTCTGACCGACATCCTAAAGAGAAGAATATCTAAAGCCTTGAAAAGAACATTCTCTGCTGCATTATGATTGGTATTCTCAAGCCACCCAGTGTTCTTCAACAACTCCAAAGATAAACTATCGCATTTGACCACTTCTCCCCCCCCTATTTTTCTAAAATTGGGCATTATGCAATCCACTTGTTATAATCATTTCTACCGTTGATTAATTGATTAATTTTTTGATTAACTGTTACCCCTTTGATAAGCTGATATCGACAAATTATTGTTAACAAACTTACCGCCACTAGACTGGCGAATTTCTTGAGTTGTATTAAAAATGCTAAAGACACTATTACAGTAGAGTCAGTGATGAGGATCTAATTGAAAAAATGAATATTTCATTCGCTCAATACCTTCTGTCTAATAAATGATTAAAGCATGTGACACTGAACGCTTAAAGGCATTCTAAACTGAAAGTGCCTAATGTCTATCATTATCCAGTATGTGCACAAAACAAGCGTCCTCTACTATTAAACTCAAACAATCAGCCATCATTCACTTAGAACTACTGTACTGTCACTGCTTCTTCATTCCTCTCAAACATAACGCGCCTAGTCAGTTGACCAACAACTGTCTGAACTTCTCGGATGGGAATAGTCGACTTCTTTTTGTAGTGTGATGTCATCCATAAAGGAGTTCATGGCTGACATTGATTGACGAGGAACAACAGTTTCAAGATGAACTTCAGGGAAAGGACATTCCCCGCTCCCTGTCAGTCTTAGGCAATTTAAACTTAAGGACTTTCTTAGCAGATTTACAAGGATACGACTTTTTAAGGTATTACTCCACAGTATATGAACGCATACCTTACGCACCTCTAGCAAGTTTATAAAGTATACTGACTAGTAACTTTAAATGGCTATTTCGCCAGTCAAGTAGTACACATGTCGGGCATATTTTTAAAAAGTTGATTCATTTTCAGGTCAGAAATATGATTTTGTACAAAACGGATTTGGAAATGAATTCCGCAAGGCACGTTTCCTTGTATATGGCATGCGTCAGCCAGGTGTACCTATATCCATAGTTAGTGAGTGAGTGGTGTGGTTGTTCAGCGGAGATTCCAGTCTAACCTGCACCAATCTTCTCAAACACCATAGTACTGTTCAGTAGGCCACTGGATGACGAGATCCACCTGTTTTGCAATCAGTATCTGCCCCGTCACGTTGGGCTTCTTGGAATCCCTCTGCAAACTTACCCACGAAAACAAATAACACAATGACAAAATGAAACAAAATAGGAACAAACACGAGACAAAAGCTACAACTACTAACCACATTCGGTTCTAAGATGGCATATAATTTCAGCAATTGTGGGGCTAAATTTGCAGAAACCTGTTGACTTGTTATCCAATCATGAACCACTGAGAGAAGACGTCGTCGGCCATATTCTTCACTAATGTCAAGTAAACCTCCAATAATTAAGATTTGTTCTACAATACATTCTTCATCAAACACCTTGACATCTTTCTGCTGATCAGCTGCAGATTGTAAAAATTTGTCAACAATACTACAAAGAAAGATAAAATTGGGAGTGAAATGATTTAGAGAATCTATCAGATCCTGCAGTTGACAAAGTTTGCTTCTGAGTTAGTTGGTTGGTGAGTTGGTTTAAATGCCATTTTAATTCAACCTATATTAAAAATCCTACGACTGGACTACGTCAACTCCTAGCTTAGTGATAGGGAGTGAAGTGATAGAACATGTTGACCACTTCACCTATTTGGGAAGTTGTATCAGCACCAACGGATTGATTGGTGACGAAATCTCAGCATGGATCCAAAAAGCTCGGGCTGCTTTCGCTAACTTACACCATCTCTGGCGTAGGCGTGACATCCGACTATCAACCAAGGGACGTGTGTACTGCTCAGCAGTTCGCTCCGTCCTTCTCTATGGCTCTGAAACATGGCCAATACGAGTTGAAGATATGAAAAGGTTGACTGTTTTTGATCATAGAAGTCTACGATCTCTTTCTCACGTTAGGTGGCATAATGAAGTAAGTAATGTTGACGTTAGGCGTAGAGTGTTGGTTGTGCAAAGAGGGAAACCAATCGACAAGGCTATAAAGTTACATAGATTGAGATGGCTAGGTCACGTGCTGCGCATGCCTAGCCATCGTCTCCCCCGACGGGCATTAACTAGCTGATATAGGTGCAGGTTGGAAAAGAGTAAGTGGTGGCCAAACAAAAACATGGCCTCATCAATCCATGAAATCCTTGACAGTTAAACTGAGTCAGGTAGGGAGATGCAGACTTCCGGGTTGGGGCCCTCGGGACTCTGAGAATCAATGGCTGGAGACAATAGGTGAAATGGCTCAAAATCGTTGTCAATGGTGCAGATGTATTCAGTTTCTGTAATCTTTCATATTCCTTTCTACCATTACTCATTCTGTTTCACTTATACTTGTCGAAACTCGATTGATTCTCTTCACTCATCTTCTTGTCTTGTCTACCTTCGTGTGCTATTTGGAAGGTGGCAACTCGAACTGCTGCACTTCGGTGCCAAGTTCTATGTTGAATCCAGACAGACAAATATCCTACGAAGGGCCTTTGATGGTTCTTCTTTTTAAGGCAGTAATGTAACAATAGAACGGAAGCCAAGGTATATTTTTCATTGATCAAACCGCTGTTTATACATTTCACAGTTTATATTCTTTAACCAATCAGTGAGCGTGTGATTTCGGTTTACATTAAACGACATGAAATAGAATGTTCAAATATACACAGTATTCTGTTGTTAATGCAGTATATAGCCGTGGGAAGTGTATTCTGTCTCTAAAATCAAACAGAACGTTCAAATATATATATAGTATTCTGTTGCTAATGCCGAATTGAACTGTGGAAATATGTGAGAATAATATTCCATTGGCACACATTGTCTGTATCACACCACAACAGTAGCATGCGCCTGGAGCTCTGATGTCTTTTTTTAATGTACAAATAAGGAAGTAAAATCAGGAGCCGTAGGTAAGATCCTTGACGAGAGCTTGGATTAGTATGACATTTAAAGCAACTAGCCAGTATACTCAGAGATACACTTTGTAGATATAAGCATCTGATAGACCTAATTAGAAAAAGTAATATAATTTACCAAATGTTACTGAATGACTTTCAAGTCTATTATTATTATTATATGGGTGAAACTAGTAAATCCAGGCTGGTTAGGTCATCAGTATACAGGAATTTTATTATTATTGTTCCTTTGGGTTCTGAGTGGAACATAAGGCTTCAGCGACACACCTCTACTTTGTTCCACTTTCTGCTGTCCTCTTTATCTTGGCCTACGATTGATTGACCGTAGTCTCTCATCTCCTCTTCTCACACGACCTCTTCCATGTCACCCTCGAACTCAGGCCCAACTAATCGTTCCCCCAATCGGGTTAAACTCGAGTGATGGCCTAGAGTGAAAAGTCATTTGAGGTCTCCTCAGCGTGTGCCCGATCTATCTCATTTTCTCCGTCATATTTATTTGTTGAGCAATCAGCTCTTGGTTGGTTTGTTGCCAGAGTTTCTTGTTGCTAATTACTTCTGGTCAGCCGGCCATTTGATCTTCAATATAGAGTGAAGACAGCTGTTGATAAAAGTATACAATCTGTTGGAAACGCTTCTCATTACAAGATGGCCAAGTTTCTGACCCGTATAGTACAAGTGACTGACTTCACGTTTGTCTTGAAAATCCAAATCTTATTCCAATGCTGAGTGTAGAGTTTTAAACCGATTTCAGATTGATGAAGGTGTATCTTGCCTTTCTGATTCTGGCTTTGACATGATCATTCGTCCCCACTGCGGTCGAAACAATGCTTCACAGATAAGTGAAGGAAGTGACGTCTTTCAAGTTTCTCCCATTGATAATGATTGGCGCAAGGTTTAAAACAGCTTTCCCATTGCAATACACACAATAAGGTAGGTAGCATAAGATAAATGTATGAAAAAGAAATATACTTGGGTGGCGAGACAGAAGGTCGATCACCGAATCTTTGTTTAACGAATAAACACCAAACACAGCTGTGCATTCGGAATGATGCAAAATCTGTACCAGATATATGGAAAATTACAAACAACAGGGGAGAGGGAAAAATGTAAGTATAGAAAATTATGAAGCACTGTGAATACATTGATATGATGAAAGCAACAATCAATTAAGCTCGAAACGTCAACCACTTATTCATACTGTATTACTGTGTTATATAAAATAAATTTACATAATATGGAATTATATCTGTCTGTCTGTTTTCAATATAGAACTTTGCACCGATGTGCAGCAGTTCAAGTCGCCACTCTCCATGTAGAACACAAAGCAAGAGAAGAAAGTACAAGAAATGCATAATAGAGACAGTAGACAGGGTTATGAGACAAAAGGAATAGTAATATCGAAGAACATTGGAAATTATAAGTCACAAGGAGTGGATACATCTGTACTAGCCATTGAGAACGATTTTGAGCCATACCACCATTTGTCTCCAGCCATTGCTATTTACCGTCTTAAAATCTACTCTTACATCCAAATAAACTTGTTAATTTACCTAACTCATAGCAGCTTTCAAAATAGGGTGTAAAACTACACTAGCCAAGGGATCTTATCCCGCAGTCAAGTTGGTTCCTGTTTTTTTTTACTATACAATACACTCTTTGTGCGTCAATGGTTTAGCGGTAGGACGCTCACCAACCACACCACATGTGGTCCGTGGTTCGATCCCCGGCCGACGCACTCACATACCTCACTAGGCCTGTAAAGAGGAGAGGTCGGGCGCGAGGCTAGTAACCCCACCCTGTAAGAATAAAACCACTGATATCGAAACTTTAAAACTCTAGTCTGAGGCCCTATGTTCCACTCAGAATGTAAAGGAATAAAATTAATAATAAATATCAATATTGGTTGGAGGATTTCCTCATGAGCTGACATCGGTTAGAGAACCATTGGAAAACCTGCATGGAGTACTGGGAGAGCTGTTTCGTCCTAGTTTTGGACTCTTCATCAGTGAGAAACAGCTGCCCAGTACTCCCAAGTATTCCAGTGGTTCTCTAACTGATGTCAGCTCATGATGAAATCCTCCAACCAATCAAACAAAATCCCTACAAAAACCAATACTTGAAAATATCAATATATTAATGTCAGAAATCAATATATATCTATCGGATATTGACGATTTCTGTTCCAGTTGTTTCTGCATTAGCTTTTGTTCTGAAATGAACAACTTCCCAGCTGATGTTGACCAATACTCTTAAACTGAATCTCTCTAAAACATGTCAGACTTAATTTCTGGTTTCAAGCAAGAGGTGAACAAGGCTTCCACGGACTGATTCTTATATATATGTTATCGACGGCATCTTGCGATACGAAATAAGTCAATATATTATCAATCTTGATATCAGATACTCAACTTGTGTCTTGTACATTTCTAAGAGTTAGTCTTTTCTTCGGAAACACATGAATTCTTACCTCCCTTAAATTCAAGGTACATGAGCGTTGCAGTCAGTTATTGTTATCAAATTAGCATCTAATTCACATATCATATGATACACCCCGCTAAACATTAATCCTGAAGCCAATAATTGAGGAGATACAGGATTTTCATCATGAGCTGACATCGGTTAAAGAACCATTGGAAAACCTGAAGGGAGTACTGGACAGCTGTTTCGTCCTAGTTTTGGACTCTTCACCAGTACGCACCCACAGGGATTCGAACCCAGGACCTTCTGGTTACAAGGCTAGCGAGCTCGTTGACCATTAGGCCACTGGGTCCCAATCCAATGGCCCATGAATTCTAACTTCTGCCAATTCACGACGTAGCGCGACCCCTAGCCAATGTCTTCGGCGAGTATTTGTCCCCACACCCGACCTGCTGCACCCTACTGGTCACGAATTCTCACTAGAACCTACCTGAATAGGGCAAGTCGCTAGTGAGCATCTCATTGATATTCAAGTGAGATAGTCATACTCAGCATTTCTTTATGTATAATATATATATATATATGATGGGATTTTGTAGAGATCTGATATAAGAATAAAACTTGGGCACTGAGGTAGAGTATAATTCAATTATGGATAAAATTATGCTTTGATAAAGTCACACAGTGTTATGCAGTAATATTTACTGATGACCATGTTTCGAGCACAATTTATTGCTCATGATCATCCATAAGTACTCACACAACTTTCTCGCTTCGTTTATCCACATGAGTAAAAAAACTTATTAGATATTTATGAATAAAATCAATATAAGACATGCATGAAACACAAAGGAAGATAAAGTACATTCGGTAACAATTTTAGTGTTGCCAATTAAATATAATACGATGGGAATTAAGACAAGTGTTGTTAGTCAATAAAATGGGGAATACGATGTATTTATAGTAAAATACATAACTTGTTAGAATATGAATTGAAATACATTTTAACACTATTATTCTTTGATTTGACTGGTAATCTCATATCTTTCATATCTCTGGTATTCGCAACAGAAGTGACTCAATGCAAATGCCAGAAATATGGAAGATATTATTACCAGTCAATGGCTCATGAATTTTCACTTCGATCAATTCACATGTGATATGGCGATAACATTGTCAAACAATGCCTACGAACAGTATCCACAATCCACTTGACACCTTGACGTAGTGAACCCTAATGGTCACGGAAATTTCAGTACAGCTTCAAAAAATCCATCCACAATAACCATCAATCAGCTGGAAATTGGTATTTGGTTTATGGAATTTTAATTAGCTTCAATGTAGATTTCGTGTCACGAATTAACATCATTAAGGCAGTACTGAAAACTACCAGGGAGCACTGGACAACTGTTTCGTCTTCCTAGTTTAAGACTTTTTATCAGTGTGCACTCAGGAACACACAGCTGTCCATTACTTCCTGGCGATTTTCACGACATTGTATTATTCACTGGTTATGTAATAAGAGTAATTACGCGTTAATGAACACATACTCACACACACACACACACACTGACAACTTACTTCTTGGCAAAATCAACATAAATACAAACTGACGGTTGTATTAATTCAGCTATCTGTTCAACAGGATTCTGATCATCAACTTCCTCGTTTTCATGATGTACCACACTACTGTTAACAAGTAATTCATTGACTTCTGCCTCTTTCTTACGTGTAAATTGAATTAGTGCTCGCCAGAAGAATGCTGAATCTGGTGTAAGACAATCTGATTTCAATACATGACTAAGAAAGAAATGAAGAAAAGATGGAGGCATTTGAAAACAAAATAATAATAATAAGACGAATAATAGTAATGCGAACGATAGCAGTAGTCTCTGATAGACTGAATTTTCCAACACAGAACTAACTTGACACAGAAGTGCAACAGTTCAAGTTTTCACACACTGCATACAACATCATATGAAGATAGAGAAACAAATCAAAAGAACTAAAATTAACGAAATGTACCGGAGAACAAAAAAGTAAAATGAAAATGAGGAACTAATGGATATGGGAAATTACGAAGAGTTTTGAGACACTATCTCCAACACTCTCCAGCAATTCCTTCTTAGCATCCCAGAAATCCTAATCAGGTAGTCTACACCCACTCAGGTGACTGGCTTAAACCAACATCAAAGATTTCGTGGATTCATACCAGGTTTTGATTTGACCACCTACTTCCAAAACTCTTTTCCAACCTGATTCGGTGTTGGCTGACAATGCTTGTCAAAAAAGGAGATGATGTGTCAGGAATAAAACGTGTCCTAGCCATTTCATCAATTGATGGAACTTCACAACCTCATCGATTAACTTGCTCACCTTACCTGATTCTCTACACCTACTCTTATTAATACTACTCACCATACAATACCTTTGAAAACAAGAGATAGAACGTACACACCTGTGGTTAAAGACAACTGGTCTTTTCATACCTTCCACTTTCAATGGCCATGACTCACTGCCATAAAGAAGGACAAAGGGAACAGCCGCGCAGTACATACATCTTCTGACTGATAGACGAATATAATGTCCACGCTAGAGATGATGGAAAGAGGTCAGTGAATGAACTCTACGACGATTTTCTAACTTAGAATCGTCAACCTGACAGGGGTTGCATGCCTACTGGTGTAGATCCTGCAATCCTTCAAAGGTAGTACGTCGAGGCATGGTTCACGATACTTGGTGCATTATCTGTATATACGTATACACTGTATAAATTGAGTTGTTATCTGGTTTCATCCTGTCCATTTGTTATTTCCGTATCCTATAAACCGTGTAATGTCAATGTGACTACTTCTGAAGTTGTTTCGAGTCTTCTGCAATTCACACCGGGGAGGATTGAGATGAAGGTGGGGTGATGCAGATGGAGAAGCATCCAACACACTCATGAGGACAACGATTGCTTTTGGTATTGTCTATTGAGAGAGAAGAGGTGTTTCGATCACGGTTTCACATACCGGGGAGAGGGAGAAAGCGCACCGGTGTGGTGCGAGTATGTCTGTTGTGTGTTGGCTTTTTTGTTTTGTTTCCCATTTCAGCCTAGTCCCGGTTGGCCCAGGTTCGCCATCGGCAGTCAAGTCCGACTCCATCGATCCTCTTTTGCCGTGGAGTGTCAGTGCTGGCGAACATTGAATTGTTAGTTTGTTGAAACAGGTCTCCACATTGGTAGGAGACAAGAAGGCTGTCATTGCTTAATCGTGTACTCGTTGGCAGAAGATTGAAGAAATACTATCATAAGTATTGTTGCACGTCATATTAACGTTTATTTACAGGCTTTGGCACTGATTAAGCATTGTAAATCTTTTTCGTTATCGGTTGAAGAATACACAATCGTGTTGCTCAACCGTTTTCTATTGTTCTGCGTCGGTTACAGTGCATAGTGTTCTGCGTATTAGGCTTATTCTTCTGAAACCAGCGATAGTTCCAGGATCTCCGCGATCCGGATATTTGACATCATATATAAAACTTTTGTACCCAAAATGAGATTCCGTCAGCAATTAGTCAATCAATTAAGGCTGATACAATTTCCTAAATAAGTGAATTGGTCAACACGCTCTGCTAGTTCACTTCCTATCTTTATAAACAAAGAGCCGATACAGACAAGTCCTGCAGCATCATCTTACATTAAACGGAATCGAGTCGCATGTTAAACATTCGAAGATTTCTTCTTAATGTGTTCATAAGACTCTGCATCTTATCAGCGTTTTTATCTAGAAGGACTGTATTATCATCATAATCTAATTCGATGAAATTCTTGTTCCCTGGTAACAAGTCAATCTCTAAATCTGTAAAGTCAGCAACGGAAAAGAAATAATTGCATGGAGAATCATGAGGACTTAGTAGATCTAGCAGATAACAACGATAACAACGCGTCCGCGGACGACTGTGAGACATATCACCAATATAAGAACAAAAAGTTTTCAGTACATACACACAAATAATTACATATAAATGCCATTGTACAGTTGAGAGAATGAATTCGCTGAAAAGAGACTATTCGCTGAACTTTTTGTTCTTACATTCATGTCTGGGTATTTTCCGTGAATATCACCAATAAATAATGGCAAGCCACTGCATCTTAGCGTCTCAAGGATTCCGACCAGCCAGCTAGTTTGCACCTCTCTACATGGGTGAAACCAACAGTGAAAGATTTCATGTATCGAGATCTCACCACACTTCGATGGAATCTTACACAGTAGTCCAACAATATCAGTTACTGCAAACTTCAGAGAGAGAGACGCACACCCACACATAAAGGCAGATATAAAGAAAACTGTAAACTAGGTATAATGAACGGAGTGAAGTTAGAAATTATAATTACAACTACGTCGGTGGCACAGTGGTTAGGACTCGCGCCGACCATGCACATGGTCCGGGATTCGATTCGCTGCCGACGCACACCTGATATCTATGGTCGGCCCGCAAAATTTGGGCTATCGATATCACATGCTGAAAATTCCATACCTGTACCAAAAAATACGGTGTGGAATCAAGCTGTAATCAAAAATAAAAATAAATAACAATAATGAAAATTTAAATGGATCTGGGATAGGAGATCAGTCACAGAGAGTGAATGCATTTGCATTAATGTGAACGATTTTGAACCCCATTATCAACAGTCTCAAACAGATAGTCAACAGATTCACTGACTGACGACATGTTTTCACCTGATAACACTCTGAGAAGAAACTGAGAGAATTTAACTGGCCTCCGAACTTCAGTAAATTTTATTGATAGATAGAAACAAAATGAAGAATGAAGACGGGAATAACTTCATTTCTGATTAACGCAGCGTTTATCAGCATTTTCCAGCTCACTAAAGTAGACCTAAACGCCCTCTACCAGTCCATTTGTATTTCTTTCTTCCTCACATTTTTGCTTACTGTCGTTCTTTCGAATCTTCTTTTGTCTTCTGTGTGCTGCATGGTGTGGCAACTCGAACTACTGCACTTCTGTGCAAAGTTGTATACTGAAACCAGTCAGTCAATCAATCCGTTTTTAAGTGCCAGACATTCGCATTCACCGTTTCATTTTTGTGAGGAACACTTCCACTGCAGTCTGTGTGTATATTAGAGTAAAGCTTGATGATAAGATTTAACTGAAACCATACGATTTTGTTGTCAGCCTCCTCGAAATGTTGTGTTATTCACTGTCTTCAGATAACCTGGGTATTCCTCATCAAAGTGGAAGGGTGAATGAAAACCCTTGATATTTACAACCGGATTAACGGACAAGCAGATTCACCTAGTGGAGCTGAAAAACCCTGATTCAAAACCTATGGTGTACATGATCTCTAGAATGCGAAAGGATCGAATAGTGTATCAACTTGTTTTGGTCATTGGTAACCGTGAGAATGCAGCTCCACTGCCTTATAGATCGCACTTCAAGTTAAAGGCTTTGTGATTGCTCCCTTAACACAACCGCATGCCAAAGTTTGGGCGTCGGGGCAGTTCCCCAGCCCTCGTATAAACTATGAGAAAATTTTGTATGGCGCATCCCTTCGTGCCCATGATGCGCCAATTATGTGTTTTAATAATAAGAACAATAAATCTAAAAACACACAAAGGAAACTGTATACAAACATTATTCCAAAGAGATAAAACATACACTGCAACACTCCAGTCCGAGGGAGAATAAAAGAGAAATATGTTTAAGTGTTGGTTTTGAAGGGTTTGATTTGACTGATTACAGGATTTCACCATAAGCTAAAATTAGCTAGAGGATCACTGGCGTTTCAACTTCTGCCAGTTCCTGAGCCATTGGATCGGGTCCCAGTGACTTAGGGGTGTACGAGCTCGCCAGGTAAATGGAAGGTCCTGGGTTCGAAGCCCGGTGAGTGCGTGCTGCTGAAGAGCCTCAAACAAGGGGGACGAAACAACTTTCTAGTAATCCCGGGTTTTTCAATGGTTATCTAATCAATGTCAGCTCATGATGAAATCCTGTAAGAAATATACTAATTCACTGTCACTAGTAAAACTGGATAGCTTTATAGTTTCATCAAAAAAATATATCTAAACTCAAATCGAGCTACCAGCGAAAAGAACCAACTCCAGAAACACAAAAGTTCATCCGATCATATGTAAATTAGAAGAATATTTTTGAAAGAACATTCAGAATAGCAAAACTATTTAGAATATACATCACGAACACATAGAGAGACACACCAACCAACGTGATCACTATTTATACAAATCGAAAGACTCACCTAGAAGTAAAAGAAGCCAACATCAAGATGACTTGTGATAGGCAATATTATATGGGTCAAAATGAGCATTCCCCTAGACTCTGAATTCAAGAAAATAAAAACTAGCTATCAAGAAAACACGACATGTATTCCCCAATCATTTAATGCATACAGACAACTAATGTGGACACCAACTTGACCGGTAAATTATAGGAGTTTTAAACAATGAGAATACCAAGCAAAATGCCAGGGAATTCTTAAAAAAGTCTATGAGTACTCACTAAGACGTATAAGCGATTAACAGACATATTATTACAGATGAAGTGCATCAACTAATAAAGAATAGGCCACATGACAACCAAAATTGAATAGCAGCCAATCACGACAAAAGTTGTCTCGAGATACCTAATTATATCAGTCCTAGAGAGCGAATTCAAATAAGTTTACACTTCACACATTCAAAATTGTGTGATGTTGTCTTGAAAGACGGATAATGGAATTTTCGCAATTTAAATCATCACTATGCAGCTCAATGAATGTAACCATATCAATAAAAACAACATTTTGAAAACTTACAGGAGACATCAAAAACAGCTAGCTAGTCACTTTACTTACTCAGAAGTTAAATAGGTGGCCGCCCAATTTTGTACAACTTTAAGCAACTCATCCAAGGACAAAATATCAAATAAATTGTCTAACACTTTTTGACATGTCTCTGCTTCACATTCTGGATCGAGACGATGTAACAATAGGATTGGATCTCTATTTGAAGCATTGAACCAGGATAAAATTAGCGCTTTCGTGGCTTTACGAACATCCTCTGCAGAAGGAGAAAAGAGAGAAACAAGGATCTTCGCATCTAGGTACCAAAAATAATCCCGTGTGATGTGAATAAAAAAAGAACACGTAAGCTGAAGCTTCACTTCAAAGCTGTACATGTACTTATCTAGAGGTTTATGTAGGTATAATGTTGATTGACAACAACACAGATCAGAGGTTATATTGTCCATTAGTAACAAAGATAAACCACAGTCCAATCATGAATTGATGCAGCAGTTAGAGAACCACCAATAGCTACCAGGCAGCAATAGACAACTGCCTCACCTTCTAGTATGGCAATCTTCATCAGCACGCACCCGTCGGGATTCTAACCTAGAACCAAGCAAACTCGTAGATGGGCATACCACAAACCAGATAGATTTCATCTCACTAGTGCTCAACGAAGTTGAGACGCAGCCAGCCTGCTGGACACAAAGTTGAGAAGGGGAGCAGATTAAGGCTCCAACCAGGCCACTGGAACCCGAACCAATGGCCTATGATTTCCAATTTCTGCCAATTTGCGATATATATATATATATATATATGGCGCAACAACTAGCTGATGCCATCATGATCGAACTTGTAACCAATCGAATCACTGCAAACCAACATTTGAATAAATCAAAGTGTATGAGAAAGAACAATGTGTGAATAATGTGGCGTAATCGAGATAGAGTTGACAACTCATTAATTAAGTGATGAAGAATCACTTGGTAATAAACGATAGGAAATAAGGATTGAAAATAGTCAGTAAAAGAGACTGAATAAGACTCTTTGTGAACACAAAGTTCCGCCGCTTTCTTATGGATTAGTTAGAGCTTCGGCTGCATGATGAAGATTTAAGGTGCATCTCCACGCCTCATCCTTCCCAAACATGCACCTGCTCACCAAAAGCGTCAAAGATAGATCCAGTTCTAAAAGGAATGCACACCTGGCTAACTTTTACAATATGTTACCATATGCAGGAGCAGAAACTTCATCACCCCTTTTACAACCAGAATCTAACGTATTGCACCGAAGTAACATTGAGTAAACGAACTGGAATCATTCAGAAGTATTCAAGTCATCGACAAACACTTAATGAGAAAGATGGATGCTCCGTGAAACCTGAATGTACCGAAGAAACAAGTATTTTTAGATCTGAAATTCAAACGAGGCATACTTAGTTTTCTGAAGCCATCCGTCGAGAGTCATTTGAAGAATGTGGTTTTCGCTACACCCTCACGAATCACCTCCTCTGCAAACATGAACTTGTTAACCGAGACAATGACCCACTGTTGACAAATTTTAATGTGTGCTTACCAGTTCCCTTGCTACTGTATAATCAGTTAAGTAAATACGCCATGTCAGCAGGACATTGTTTAGACGCGCGTTTGTAAACACCTACTAGCATGGTTGTAGAAAAGACAACGGAGAACAGTCAACAGCTTAATTCTGCATTACACTACTACTTCTGATCATGCAGCATAAGCAGAGATTTCATCGTCATATATATATATATATATATATATACTGGATGACGATGTTTCCAACACAATTTATTGTTCATCAACGGCCGACAATATTTCAGCTAACACACAAAGCACCCTCAGTACTAAAACATACGGGATTATACCAGAACCAGTAAATGACAATGACAATATTCACAGGTCTGTTGAAGACAATAGTCATCATAGGTGTTAATAATAAATGCAATAACACAAATGACAGAACTGTGAAATAAATCTTACCTGATCTATCTGATAAACCGTCTTGTAGGATACGTATACGCTTGGCAATTGATAAAGGTCGTATGATACTTCGATCCGCTAGTATTTTATATGCAGTACGACGAACATTATCCGCTACATCACGGCATCGTTCAAGAAGATGGCCTAATGTTCGTGTTGTCAACACCATTGCGGCTGCAGCAGCACGTCTCACTTCAGCTGTTGGATCATGTCGAGTAAGCCACATGAAAGCTTCTACTACACTACATTGTGCATCATTAGGATCTTGCATACGTGATATAGCTTTAATAGCTTCAACACGTACAGAAACCTATTGAAAGTTAAAGTGAACATTAATGTATCATATGTAGTAGACGTTTTGCTAAATGACAGCAAAATGAATAAAAATAAACATAATGCACTAATGATAATTGAATCTGAGTTTTTAAAAAATTTATTGAGTGTTAGACGTCCACCTTATGCTAAATAAGGCGGAACATTTTCTTTACATTCGATTCTATGCTGTAATCTTCACCTGGCTTAATGAAGACCACCATAACCTTTCATTTTCCACCCTTCATACATGATCACTTCCATATCACCCTCGAACCCGTGTTCAACGCGTCGTTCGCTTTCCACTAGGCCTCCTCACGAAAGCTTGGCTTGCACGTGATATCACTCCTAAGTCACTGACAAAATAGTGTTTAGAACATCTCGAGAAGAAATTTTCGAATGTTTGACATGAGAATAAGAAAATAGAACATTGTGACCACGTTAACTAACCTTCACATCATAAACACGACGTAGTAATACATCTTGTAATTTTGTATAGATTTCACCAGGTAATATTCCGTTATCACCGATACCATCTAATAATTTGTGAATGATTTGCATACATCGAAATCGTACAGCAGGATTTGGACATTCATTGTACTATGAGCAAAAAAAATAATAATTACATAAACAGATGAAGTTGACTTTCTTCAAGAGTATTGATATTAATCACATAATTATACATAATGAATCTCGACCAATGATTGATTGATGCTGAAGAGACAAAACGGAGGCTCTCGATGCAAAACCCACCCCCCCCTCAGCTGGGAAGAAGCCGCATTCAAGATTCAGGAATAAACAAATATATGTGGATTTTTAAATTGCAATGCTACGCATCATCATTAACGAACAAAATACATAGAACGGCAGTCAAGTCTTTACTATTAACTTCATGGAATTTGAAGTGAGGCTTTCGATACCGTTGACCACGAAGTAATTGGGGGGAACTGCTTCAAAACTACGGACTGTTCCATACCTTCATAAACCTTTGTCAACAGCTATGTGACGATGCCACATGCCACATGACTCACAACAGAAAGCTCAGCGGAGCCTTTGAAGTAAAAACAAGAGTAAAACAAGGCAAGGCAAACAAGAACAATGATATTCTTGATTGTGATGGATTGGATCCTGAAACAGACTGTGAGGAAAGATAAGACAAGTATATGTTGGATTGACAAGATGGCCCAAGGAGATCTAGAATTCGCGAACGATTTATGTTTAATGCCACACAAACTCAAAGTTATACAAGCGAAAACCAACAAAAGGACGGAAGAGACGGGAAAACAGGACTTCACGTTAAGATAGAGAAGACAGCGGTGAAGACACCCAGTCAACAGAACGATAAGCACCAATAACCATCACCAACGGGAAGAGTCTAAAGGACTTCACCCACTTTTTCACCTACAAAAAAGCATCGGGACTCATGTCAGTGCATATAATATAAGCGGAATACCACTTCCACCACCAGTTCAGATACATAAAGATCGGGATATCATAGTAAGTCACGACCTAAAATACCACGACATTAAGCGGTGGCAGCTCACAGTTCTAGATTTTCATGAGCAATACGTGGGGTTTTTATCAGAAGCACCAGTGAAATGTTCGCTAATTCATATGCACCCGTCTTAAAAGCAACTCACTTAGTTTAGAAACATCAAGGGAAGGTCATATGTACAGTTGCTGCTTTGATTAATTTATCACACGAGGAAAGAATCTCTTTTCTATATCGTACCTTAAGCATAAAGGAGATCTCTTCATGATGTTTAAAATCCTAGGCTAAGCAACAGTTATGTATTTGATGTCCCCCCTTTTCTCGTTCCCACCAGGGGGTATAGCAGAAGATAAAAAGACAACGTGGATTACCGTTTCTGCTAGAGGAAGTGGTGTCTACGACCACAACCGAATCGTTTAAGAAGGGAATTAGACAAGCACAGTTACTTATTTAAAAAAAGATTAAAACAGGTCTGAAGTAATCTATCCTCACAACAAAAATCTGAATTATAACCTTAATTTTGCTCAATTTGTATTTTCATGAGATAAGTAAATAGTGTTATAGACAGAAGACGATAACAAACAGTAAAACATGCTTACTCAACCTATAACTGTTAACAGTATTCTTCAGCAGTTAAGTGGACAGGCACTTCTGGTCTGAATGGTTACAACCGAATGAACAGCTGGTAGTTATCGTCAGCTCATACGCTTTGATATGACGTTTGATGATATATATATATATATATATAGTTCATACTTCTAGGGTTTACTACCACAGAAAACTCCCTGACGAATCTGTAGGCCAGAAAAATAGTATCTAAGTGTATCCCAGAAATTGATGGAAGACAATACAGTGATCGATGTGCACTGGTTAACAAACAAAGCCTGAGGGAAGATAGACTATAGTAGACACCAAATGACCTTGGAAAAAAGTCACATCACTCATGAGTGCGGCCTAATTTTTGCTTCAAGAGCTTTCTGCTGAACTCATTTGAACGTCTACGGTCAGGGCCAGTGGTTAGGTTTTGAGCTATATTAGGGTTAGGAGTTATAGTCGAATGTCAGATTGGGGTCATGAGTTAAGTTTAGGATCAGGCGTTAAGATGACGCAGAATCGCCCCACTAAATAATCCAGCCATTTCAATATACAATTTATCAACAAACTCAGGGTTTTAGACATTCCTGCATTCAGATTGTTCGTTCAAGGTTTTTTGGTAGTTGATAGTTTATCCTCAGAAAGGCCTGTTCCTATTTTGCCCACATTATCAAATGATCAGAAAAGCCAGGACAGTGTCTTTTGGTTTATACGCTTGACATTAAACTACTGAGTCGTGAATTTGAACCCTCGTTACAAACGTAACCATTAGGGCAAACAAGTATTATTAGCCATGCTATATAGATGTAGTCAATAAACACCTACATATAAATGCAAGTGAGTTTTAATGACACTACTAAGAATACCGACACATCAACATAGCTTAGATTATCAGCGGTTAGTGGGTGGATGTGCTGAAAGCGCAGCAACAAGTCATGATCAGTAGGGCCCACGTCAAGGTTGTTCAGTGGATACTCACCAAGAAAGGCTGGTTATCGTTGGTGGAGTTGCATCATAGGAATTAAAGGAAGACAGAATCACCGGGTCACTGAATTCTAGCCCATTCGGCTACATGACCTGAAGGTCGTGGGAGGGGTCCCAAACAGCTATTCACAGCTCCCTACTGGTTTTCCATGAACCCACCAAGTGGTATTGGTTCGCGACGAAATCTACATTGAGAATATTTGACAGGTGTGTATACAACAATTTAATAAAAACATAAATAAACAAAGTTAACTTACTTTAATGCAGAATATTATAAGCCTTAGTAAGATACGATTATGTATTGTATTTAGAACGCCATCCTCATTCGAATCTTTTCCACAAAATAATGCAAACTTTGTAATGAAATCAATTGTCCGTTCACGATATAACGACCGTTCAGCAGACACCAAACTGTATCGACAAAGCTCAAGGAAGTCATCAGCAAACACTGAGAAACGTGTCTAAGATTTAAAAAAAAAAGTGACTCTGACAACATAATGAACAAAAAGCCGAACATTTGAGCTTGTCTGGAGAAACACACTTGTGAAACAATGGAGTCTATAAGAATACAGGTTGCGGATAGTACGCATCGGAGGGAAGTTAGAATGTAGCAACCACCCGAGGTGGCACAGTGATAGAACTCGCCTGTGGTTCGGGGTTCGATCCCCTGCCGACGCACTCCTCTACCTCGCTAGGCCAGAAATAATGCTGGTGAAGAGGAAAGGTTGGGCATGAGGTCAGTAACCCAATCCCATAAAAAATAAACACCAATGCTACTGAAACATCAAGTCTCCAGCTTGAAGCCCCACATTCCACGGGGAAGGTTAAGGAACAAAAACAAAAAGACCCCAAGTAAATGATGTCCAACAGTTGTTGCAAATGGTAAAGCCACATTAAATTATGCCTTGTGATATGGATTTTGCCTAGATTTCCACGCAGGTAGGGTACAACTGCGTTAACTGGATTATGTGGAATTACAAGAAACGAGACGCACATGCACGAGGAGTAGATTAAACAAAGAGTTAGAGATACAAACGAATCTTGAAACACAATGACTGATGGCCATCATTCTAAAAATTTGCGACTTTTATTGCCATTTATTTTTTATTAGTTGTTCAAAATGAGTGGTAGAGTAGTTCGGGATGGGTACAGCATGTTATGGCATAACAGATACACAAGCTATGCTTGTAAAAAACTTCAACTATGTCAGCTGCTATGATGATATAACACTCAATCTTGAGAGTTAATGAATATTTCCAACTCAAATTGATTATTTTTAGTTTGGTTAACTTAGTAGCTTCATTTTAAAACACCAAATCAAAATTCAACTCCCTGGAATTCTTTTTTCTCATTTCCTGTATAGTCACTTTTCTACTTTTTTACATGAGTATTCTGATAGGGTAAGTACTTTTTTAACCCGCAGCTCACAACCTCATCTCACTCTTAAATAAAGTTCAAAAGATGCGTAGGAGATCTTGCCCATATTCCATATCGAATACAGTTGCTAGTGACTTACGTTATCATAGATATTCTTCAGCTTAACGCAAAGACGATCATGAGCTAAGTGGTTAAGTTGGCATTCTTCGAATACTTCCAGTATCTCTGGAAGGGAATCATCAGCTGCCATTTTCCAAATTCAAACAGCCAACCACGGATATAACTTTTCGTCCTTGACACGAACAAACAATTCTAGATCCTCGCTTTAGAATCTTCACTACAAGATTCAACGCGTGCTTATATAGCCACGGCATTGGTTTTAGCAGAAGCTTATTTCTCCGTCGAAATCTTTCACAAAGAGAGTTGTTTTACCCCTCAACAAAAACTGAGAAAGCGCTTTTGAAAATATACAGTGGTTAGGATATTTTGGTAGTTTTCATTGTTTAATGCTCCAAATTATTTTCACCATGAAAAGAAACACTCAGTGGTCTGAGTTACCTTATGGTATAAACAAGTAGGTGTGTTACCTTACACTTCAACCGTCCCGTCCCAAATAGAAACTACAAAACATACATAGTGCTTAAGTCAGAGCTGACAAAACTCCTCTGTATGCCAAAAAGTTAGCAAACACAGAGGTTGCTTCAAGAAGAGAATACCTTGGATAGATCCTCACTACATTTCTTGGGCCAGCTCCAGCAGCTTGTAGGGAACAGCACGCCCGTACTTAAGCCAGGGCACTGGTCGTGTGGTATCTTGGCTCTTCTCTTGAACAGTTAGGACGCGCCGCTGACAGAATATTAGGGGAGAAGCGACCTACGTGAGGTTAGGTGAACCAAGGGTGCATAAGCATAAACCCAATAATCTCAGGATTCGTGGTCAAAGTCAGATCACTAAGGGGAGGACTGGCACAATATAGGTAGCAAAGGACGAAAGAGGCAGATAGCCCAATAGGGCACTTTCTAGGTCAAAAGGTAAACAACCTGGATCAACAGGCCAATTCTGTTGGTATATTGTGGCACGTCACCTGTAAGAGTGTGTGGACCAAAATCATCTATTGATATGTATGAAATGTTTGATATTGGGTATGACATCAAGTTATTTGACGATGAGTTACCCAACCATTTAGGTATTGAAGTGCCTAAACAATCGTTCATAGCGAATTTGGTGGGTTTTCTTGACACCAGGTCATGCGAATTCGTGTTATGTTGCTTAGAACCTTTAAAAAACAAGCAAACATGTGTGTGAAATGTATTTGACACTGTTCATTAGAAAATTGATGAAGTCATGATACCTAACCGAGAGTTGACCGACACAGAACCTCAAATGAAGAATCTACCATTGCCTGGTATTCACAGTAAAGGAAGACTAATTGTTGTGTGCCGTTTTTTTAACAGTGCAAAAGGCGCAAAAGGAGAGATTCGCAGGTAAATAGGACAAATATGCAAACAAGACGCCGATTCATTAGAAAAGGGGATGTTCCGGACTTAGAACCTATTTTTTATGCCTCATAAAACGCGGCGTTACAGACGCCAAAAATACAGTTTTATACTAGCCACTAACCAGTGGTCGCATAATCATCTAGGTAGCCCATTAGAAAGCTAGCAGGATATACACTGTCAATTTTACATCCATGAACACAGTCACAACTAAAGCCAAAGTATAGCAGTTTAAAGAGTTTGAGACATGTTATTTTGAGTCTGTACATCACGTCCATGAGCCTCGAATTACCCAATCTTCGCCTTCAATATCTGAAAGACTGGTCATCATTTATTGGCAAAGTTAAACCCATAACGTCCATCAGCAAGCAACTGAACTCAAATGTTCATTTATACACTAAAATTACGGAAGATATAGAGGCGATTCTCTTCGATTTCGTCAGTTGTGTCCGGCAAACAAAGTTCTAACATGCGGTCTTACTCCCTCTTCCTGGAACAACCAGATTTCATTGTAGGTCCGAATTTGTGAAGACGTCAACTAATAACGAACCTTGATAGTTTACTTTTAGGTGAGCTGGTTGTTCATTTTTTATGTAGGCAGTGAAGCACGCATCAGAGAGCGTCGAAATCGTTTGATTCTTTAAACATTACCCTCCATCCTTTCCAAAATTGCAGCGGTAGGTGAATAAATAGCCATTCACTAATTAGAACCAGGTAAAATTCCACACCAGCGATGAAGTGTTGGTGCCCTGCTCACAGTGGTCCCCTCAAAGAGTCACTTCCTCAAATGACAGGTTTTACCTGCTGTCTCGGCACATGGCTCCCGTCTGCATGTGCAGATTGAGTTTCTAAGCCTAACATGGGCACGTCAGTCTTTATTCCAGTATTGGGCACGACGACCGTCTAACAGAATATATAACGTTGTCATTCTCTGATGACCAACGTGTCTGGAGCAAAAGCGTCTCTAACAGGGGATCAAGAGGACTGTAACTTCAAAACACAAAGAAAAACATGACAGAGAATTACAGTTCCAAAGTCTAGAAATAGTGTTCGACGAATCCATTGCTCATACTGTTAGTCCTGGGATTTCTTTCCACTGTGTGCATGTCATGTAGTCTCCTTTACTTTTAATAGCAAACGTCTGCCGGAATCTCACAGCGTTTGTGGTTTAGCCTAGGCTGAAGACGCAGTATAAACAATGTCCTGTTCAGTGGTTTTGGAAGACTTCCTCTTGACAGCTAAATCGGTACGCAGACAGTAACTGTTGTGTACTAGTTGATGTATAAACTATGAAGCAATTGGTAACAGCGTGGTGAATGAAATTAATAATATATATTTATTCTCGTTTATGCAGGAACATACCAATTTTACAGGCATGGATAGGTTATTATATAAATTACACATTTTTCGATGTATGCTGAATTTACAGTTTGTTTGTTCTTTCTGACATTACAGTCAGTCGGAACAGTCTGCAACATAGTCTGTCTGTGTAACACATAAAGAGATATAGAAATATTGTCTTCGCATTAACAAAAACCCAGACATCAGATGAATGTAATACAAATATCTGGGAAAAATAAAGCTTGAAGTCAAATCTCCTATATAACTTTGTTGTGAACAGCATCCTTGAGTTAAAGTTTATTGATGTATTATTTTGAGATCAGTGATGTATTTATTCCATTTTTCAGCAGTCTTATCGTAATTTTATGACAGGAAAGAAATTTGATCTTGGATACGAAAACTAGATAAGGTTATGTTGGATTGTTTTATTGTATCAAATAGGGCCGAGGTCGAATCCAGAATTCTCCATTGGCTTCATTTGATATGCTTGACAGACTGTACACGTAAGTTGAGTAAGACATTGAAAACTGTTTGAAAACCAGTTGCTTCTTTATTTCAAATCATGAAAACTCCTTGTACAGAATATTGGCCAGTGTTTTCAAATGGCAGAACGAGATCGTTCACGGAATTTGAGTGGTTATGAGCTAGTATACTGAGTGGAGACGTGTGAATTTACTTAAATGGTCTGGAGCCTAGCTTCATTTCAGTTTAAATGTAGGGTTGTTCGACCTCGACCAGAAGGTAAATAGAAGTGAAGACTCAGCAGCAGAATACCAGAAAGAGAAAGTATGTGAACATGAAAGGAACATTAATATTTTATGCACATATAAATGTTTATGTCGATTGTATATCACAGTATAGTAAACACCGACCTATATACTAGTTGTGTTTTTCATGAGTTTTTGCGAAGTCTTTATCTGGCGTCATAATATATATTACTGAGTCTAAGCGTTATAGTGTTCTAATAGCTGATGCGTTTTAGAAATAAGTGGTTCGGTCTGGTTTGCATAGTCATTGGGATGAAACAGTTTATATAGCAAGCGTTTGAAGGTTATAATAGAGTGACAGGTCCTTATTTCTAGGGGTAAACTGTTCCAGATCTTAGAGTACATGACTATGAAGAAGTTTGCACGGAGTGCTGTCTTACAGTTTTTCCTAGATACTTTGCACGTTTGGTTACTCAGGTCGTAGGAGCCTTCCGGTGAGATTTCTATCTCCTTACTGTCTGAGAATGATATTTCATGCAAGACTTTAAAGAAGAATGTTAGGTTAATGCTTAGTCGTCTCATCCAGAGTGGGTCGATACCTAGAGTTATACACCTTGATGTGTAGTCCTTTTCGCAGTCAAATCCTAGTAGTTGAGACGTGAAGTATCGTTGGACACTTTCTATTTTAAGCTTGTCACTTACGCGAGTGCTGCTGAGAATAAATGGATAATATTCAAGTAGTGGTCTGACACATGTTTTATAATATAAGTTTCGCTTCGTAGTTGTGGTCAGGTCACTAGAGTACCTGAGTCCTAGGTCAACAACACTTTGGAGTTTAGGCAAGTCAATAGATTCAAGTAGCAGTTTGATATTCATTGAGGGTGCATCGAAACACATCCAACCACATTTTTTAAGGTTGAATTTTAGGTTCCATGTGGAGGACCATGCAGTTACTCTATCTAGTTCTTTCTGAACAGCTTTCTGAAAGTATCGGCAAAGTTAAACTTTAAGCACCACTAACAACCAATCAGAGGATAACCTCGAACGCACCAATCACATAAAGGGAGAACTTTTGTGTATGGAATACATATATTTATGAAAAAATGCATAAATATTGTAGAAAAGTGTTACAGAGGATACCTTCCTCTCACATGTGATAAAAATAGCTCTCAGTTGTAGGTTAGAGTATCAACAGAGTGTAGTTCCATTGTGGGTTAGTAGATATGGTGGTGGACACTAAGGTGAATCGCCCATTCTGCAGGAACAGCAATATGCAATTTGACGGCTCGAGATTTCTATGAGGGCTGGAATCTTTATCTTGAAAAAGATAATAATGATCGCCTAGACAGATCATGCTTCTACCTTTAAACATATACCATTCGGTCAGCCTATTGCTGAGATGCGACCACGTGGGCTCTGCACAGATTTATGGGGCATCTTATAAATTAACATGCTTTCCTTTGTCGTATCTTCGAATATCACTTAACAATGTCTCATCTCATTCATTTTCTAATAACGTCTTCACTTGCTCATTATATTCCACTAAACCTAACATTTTATAGCTCTTTATGAATTTGATTCGACTTATTTTATCCCTATTCTCTATAGGGTACGGTTGTGCACCAAATACACAAAAAGGTATGAAATTAAAACAACCGGCTTGTGGATAATTGTATTTAACCCAAAAGTGGACATCATGATAGTAAGACCTATATGGGTAGCATTATACACTGCAAATGA